CTAAATACACAAATACTAAAGAAAGTTCCACTGATCGAAAATTCTCTAAGTCCTATAATCAGTAAATTTTCTAAGTTCCAACACGAGTTAAATTTTTTCTAAGTCTTTGGGACTCTGACAATTTTTCACTGCACACGAAATATTCTAAGTTCTAAACACATTGTCAATTTTACAGTTCACTCACAATTATTCTAAGTCTTTAACATTTGTAATTTTTTCGTCACTTTACTCACTGTTACACTTATGTCCTTCTTCTCCCGGGTTTCGGTTCCACTTTATGTCTAAACTTGCGGATGTTGAAATTAAACTCCAGATGTCACTAGTAGTAAAACAATTTATTTGAATAATAATTCTCAGACCCTATACGGTTTTCCGTGAACGAAAAGATAACGAGTTGTAATTCGACGCTAGTGACATCTCTTGACATTTTTCAGTACTAAATACCAAGGTTAGAGTAGAACTATTAGAACTGAAATTAAATGTTTTTAAACATTTTTATACGGACATAACTTCCGAGTATTACAATGGTCGCGCCGCTTTGTTCATAGTTGATATTCCCACACTGAGCGAAACGATTGCGGTAAGTTTTTACAACGTGGTATGACCCCTTTTCTCCTTAAGAGTCCATCTTGGTTGCCACCACCATCTTTTATATTTCTACTACCAAATAGCACTCCTATTTACTCCTCGCACTGCTTTCTATCCGGTACAATACTGATGCATTCCTCACAGCCTGTGAGGCTAGAGGCACAAAATAAGGGCGACTAACGAGCACACAGTCCACCTGATAGTAAGTGGATGCTGTAGTCCATAGGTATCTACATTTATCCTCGATTAAGAATCAAAACGCAGATGCGTTGTCTCCTGAGGACTAAGATGAAAGCGTCGTTTCCAGTAAAAACGGTCTCCGGTTCTCTACACTCACCATACGAAACACAGCAGTATTAAGCTGCTATTTTACGCTGGTATTCTATGAGAGCGTGTCCTTCCCCGGTCGAAATGACCCACTCGTGCTACAATCATAATATAGCTGCAGCGTGGCTCTACCACGTATAAAACGCTACTAAAGCCTTTTTTTTGAAGTTGACTGTAAGTGTACTGAAAATGGAGCAGCCATTTAATATCACGTGGATTGTAAAGTCCTTTCATCATGATCATCATCATTATAGCCCTTTAAAAGTCCACTGCTGAACATAGGCCTCCCCCAATGTTATGCCACAAAGCACGGTCCTGAGCCACCTGCATCCATCGACTTCCTGCATGTCTTACCAGGTCGTCACTCCATCTAGTGGGGGGTCGCCCTACACTTCGTCTACCGGTACGAGGCTGCCACTCGAGAACCTTTTTTCCCCAACGGTTGTCGGTTCTTTGAGCTATATGGCTGGCCCCTTGCCACTTCAGCTTACTAATCCGTTGGGCTATGTCGGTCACTCTGGTTTTACTGCGGATATCCTCATTTATAAGTTTATCACGCAGAGAAATTCCGAGCATAGTCCTCTCCATAGCTCCCTGAGCGACATTGAGCGTCCTCATACGGCCAGCAGTGAAGGACCACGTCTCAGTTCCATATGTCATCACTGGCAACACGCACTGGTTGTACAACTTAGTTTTCAGATTTTGAGGTATACCTGACGAGAAGATGCGTTGTAATTTCCCGAACGCTGCCCAGCCGAGTTGAATCCGTCGATTGACCTCTCGGTCGAAGTTGGGCTTACCTAGCCGGACTATTTGTCGCAGGTAAACATACTCGTCAACAACTTCGAGCTTAGTGCTCCCAACAACTACCGGCATAGGTGTGACATGGACATTAAACATGATCTTTGTTTTGTCCATGTTCATCTTAAGACCTATCCGTTGAGAGACACTATTGAGATTATTGAACATAGTGTGTAGGTCCTTCAGCGATTCTGCCATAAGGATTATATTGTCGACAAATCGAAGGTGAGTGACGTACATCCCATTGACGTTAATACCGTATCTATGGAGTGCAGAAGTAAGGAGTACAGACTGTATTAAAAAGTGTCCATAAAAACCATTAAATAAGGGTGACGCCACTATAACTACGAGGTAAATTTTAAAGAATGCATCGAAAAATATTAGTGGGATAGACAAATTTTCGAGGTTATATTTACTAAATAAAATTATTTTAGATTTAGCAGTTTAGCACCACACTTAAACCGTCGACAATTGCTAAGTTCTCCAGCGATTCTGCCATAAGGACTCTATCGTCGGCAAAACGAAGGTGAGTGATGTACTCGCCATTGATGTTAATACCGTTTCCTTTCCAGTCCAGTAGCTTGAAAACGTCTTCCAATGCAGCGGTGAAAAGTTTCGGGGGAAATAACGTCACCCTGTCTTACACCTCTCTGCAGTTGGATAGGTTTCGTACTCTGGTTCTGTAGTCGGATAGCCATCGTTACTCTACTGTACAAACACTTCAGCACTTCGATATACCGACAGTCAACTTGGCACCGCTGAAGAGACTGTAGCACCGCCCAAATTTCGACGGAATCAAAGGCTTTCTCATAGTCCACATACGCCAGGCAAAGTGGCAGATTGTACTCTTCGGACTTCTGTACAATTTGTCGAAGGGTGTGGTCTATGGTACTAAACAATAATAGTAATATGAATGACAAGCTCGTGGAAACTGTCCATGCGGTCGGAGCTAAGTTCTGCAAGACCGGCCACAGTAGAACACAAAAGCTCTCCGATCACATTCTTAATCTCATGGCTGTTAGACGGGAGATGAGGCTGCAATCGTTAACAGATTTGACAGCATACAGACAGATCTCCAAATGTATGCGGCGAGACTTACGCAACTTTAATATTGCTCGTATTGAAGAAGCGATTGAGCGGAACCAGGGATCCAAAGTCTTTGCCAGAGATATGTCTACTAGTAAGAGCCAACTGTCAAAGCTGAAGACTGAGTGTGGCAGCATCGTTTCCGGGACACCTGAGATTCTGAGTAAGATTGAGATGTTCTATGGGCAGCTGTACACATCATCGTTGGAGCCACACGCAAGTGTGAGTAACGATCCAAGAGCGGGTCTTATCCGACACTATTCCGATGATATCCCGGACGTCAGTCTGAGCGAGATTAGAATGGCTCTCCAGCACCTTAAAAACGGCAAGTCCCCGGGCGCGGATGGAATTACAGCGGAGCTTCTGAAAGCGGGTGGAAAACTGGTACTTGAAGTCCGTCAGAGGCTCTTTAATTCCGTCCTCCATGGTGGCACTACTACGGAGGCGTGGAGCAGAAGTGCGGTGGTCTTGTTCTTCAAGAAAGGTGACAACGCCCTCTTGAAGAACTACAGACCGATATCCCTTCTGAGCCGCGTCTACGTGCTGTTTTTCGAGAGTCATTACGAATCGTCTCGCACGCAGACTCGACGACTTCCAGCCTCCCGAACAAGCCGGTTTCCGAAAAGGCTTTAGTACCAAAGTCCTTTATCACTTCTTTTTTATAAAAAAAATTCTTTCCATAATGAGAGACCCATCTCTAGCTGCCGAGCCAGACTGTGGTGAGGTTAAATGGAAAAAGCAGAAGCGAAGAGGTATAAAATAAAAATTTATTTAGTGTTTAGTTCTATCTCAAGCGGTTTACAAATAAAACAATTATAATTTAAGTCCTTTATCTTTATTGAATTCATAAAGTTCTTACTGTGATAATACGAGTATATAGCTTTGAAATGAGAAATTACTTACTAACTTGTCAATTAAGTCATAAATTAAAGCAAAGTTTTAGAGGGTGAGGAAAGTTATTAAATAAAATTTCTAACATAAGCATCTGGCATGTGATAGTGTTTTATATTCAATAATCGTAGTAATTGTTTCTTATGATGATGATAACTAATATGATGATTAATTGTCATCAGGTGCTTGGGCGTTCGTTTTTGATCCTCACTTATAAAAGTGAGGGTAAAAATATATTTATTCAAATATTTTAAAATTAATCTATAATGTATTCTACATTTGACCTTCTTTATCCATTTTGATACATATTATTAGATATATTTGTAATTCATTTTTACAGTAAAGATATTTTTTCCAGTAAACACTGTAATTCAAAGAAAAGTATCTTATTTTATGCAAATTTAATCAAGAAGAAGGCTATCAATTCTACTGTTTTCCACGTATGTAGGTTACGTAATATGTAACACGATCTTTTTGTTGCTTAACCGATTTTGCTGACTTTTTAATTTGTATTTCTTTTATTTTTTCTTTCTTTAAAAAATACGTTACCCCCGCAGTAAGATTTTCTCTTGTATCGTGGAGGGAGTTTACATACATGAATTTCACAAGGACAAACATCCAGACCCAAACAATTACTTTTATGTCATATAAGTACATGTTTCGTGCGATATTTGAATCCACGGCCCTGAGAACCGCACCTCATTGTTAAGAAACTGCGCCACGCAGTCGGCGGTTCCTTTTTTAAAACGGCAGTTATTTTTAAATGGTCTAATATTTGTTTATTTTTTCGCGGAACCCTAATTTTTTTCCTAAAATAAAAGTAGCCTAAGTTACTCTTTATGATATCTGCTATCTACCAGTGAAAGTCCCGTCAAAATTGGTCCAGCCGTTTCAGAGATTAGCCGGAACAGACAGACGGACAAAAGTTAAAAAAAATTGTTTTTTGTTATAAAGTAACGCATTTATTAAAAAGCTGTCATTTTGAAATTACAAACAGACACTTAAATTTTATTTATTTGTATAGATGTATAGACTTAAACATAGCATACAGCCTGTATTATATCGAGTAAGTTGTGAATATTTTATTAGACAGTTTTAAAGTGTCGCCACTTATAAGAAAATATTTATTATTTCTATTTTGTTTATGTTAACTACTTCGACACGAAATAAATAATAATTACATTTTATTTTGGACTAATCCAATGTTTCCAAAGCGAAATTAATAAGTGTTTCCAAATGCCACTCATTGCTGATCCATATCGACGGCTCCAAATGAAGTAGATTCTTAGAAGCCGTCTTATTGTAGATTAGATGTCAACTTTGGTAGGCCCACGCGCTTGTTCGATGACGCTGATATTATTTTCCTCAACTCCTTCAGGGTTGACCTTGGTCACTGATGGTGATTCGGACGATACTGCTAAGTGCATGATGGAGTCTGACAAAGGAATTGGGTATTTTATTTTCTGATAAATTTATTCATTTAACTCACCTTTAAACATCCTTTACAGCCTATTAATAATACATAGGCCTCCCCCATACATTGCCTCATAGGATATTTGCCATAGTTGCAATACGTGACAAGCGGATTGACAACCGATTTATTTAATTTTTAGTCGTTCTTAGGAAGACGCTGATGTCCATCTTTTGATTTGTTTCCCTGTGTCACCTCTTACGACACATACGGGATGTTGTGGGGTACAACTCGCGGCACGAAAGTCTAGCGGTGACCGTTATTGCGCATAATCGGCCGTATTGTGCATTATTACGTATAATTGGCTGAGCGTACCGTTTGCACACGCCGATTGGCTCTCCAGTCGTATTCCGTCCCCTGTACACTGCCACTATACCGTAAATCTCATCTTTAAACATGTCTTCCTCTAGTGTTACTTATTCCTTTGAATAAATTACTGAAATAATTGATTCACCCTTACCCATCATGTCTTAACATAGGTTCGTCCTACAATTATGTATTTTTTCATTTTGTTTACTTAATTAGATAAATACACCTATTTTGTTAGTACACATAAACTTAAACTAGGGATTAGTAAGTTGACATAAATAACTTGTTTATCATAAAAGATGCGTAACTGGAACCTGTATGCACTGTTTTCCTGTGCCTTTTATATATGGATACTGGGAGGCTGTTGATTATCCCCTGCTGGCTTCTGCTGCCTATCAAATTCAAATCATTTATTGCGAATATAGGTTGATACAGATGGTATTGTCATAGTTTATCACTTAGAGAACAAACACTTAGTACAGCTATATTCCGCCATTTGGCATGCAATATTCATTACATTTTATTAGTTTTATATTAAATTATTTAAACATGCTTTATTTATAATTGGAGTTCAAAATCAAAATCAATAGCGATATGTCAATTTAGATAATATTATATAAGTCAAGTCAATTTAGTTATACTGTCATGTTTGATTGTTGATATGACATTAGTCAATTATTGAATTTCATATTTATCTTCGAGATATTCTTTCACACTGTAGTATGCCCTATTAACGAGAAATTGCTTCAATAGTATTTTAAAAATATCAATGTTGGAACATCTCAAAATGTGTAATGGTAAATGGTTATAAATTCGAGGGGCCATACAAAATATGCTGTTGTTAAATTGGGCTGTTTTGTTTGATGGAAAACATATTTTATTATTATTACGTTTATTGTGTAGGCCCTCAAATAAAGAAATATGCGTAATAACAAAGACGGCTACCTCATATATATAAAGACTAATAAAAAATGGTTTACAACTATTCGTCTGTTTTAACTTCACCATAGCCCTTACACATCTCTTTTGGGCTCTAAATATCATATCATTGTCTACAGAGTTACCCCAAAAAATGACACCATACATTAACACTGATTCTACATAACCGTGGTACGCAGTGATGACCGCAGATTGATTCACAATTGTTCCAAGTCTATGCAGTGCATATGAAAACTGGTTTAGTTTAGTACAAATATCTTCTGCTTGAGATTTCCATTTTAAGTTTGAATCGAGATTGAGGCCTAAAAATTTTGCATTTTCGACTACATTAATTTTTTGTCCATTGTATCATATATTAAGATTAATTAAATTATTTTTTATATTTCTGAATGTCATTAAATTTGTTTTATTTACATTAATTAATAAATTATTATTTGACAACCATTGAATTATAATGTCTAGTATTTGATTTATGTCAGATATCATTTTATTTTTGGTTGTGCTTGTAAACATCACTGTACTATCGTCTGCATATAGTACCATATCTTGATTTATATAATTTGGTAAATCGTTTATATAAACAAGGAATAATAATGGACCAAGAATACTTCCCTGGGGTATTTCCTGAGTCACTTCACGATATTACGATGAATGTACTATTTATCTATACGGTTTTGAGCATATGCGCGTAATTTGTGTACATTGTTTCCGATTTATTAGGTAAGTTTTTAGGAGATTAAGGATATTTCCTCGGATCCCGTACGCTTCTAATTTACTTAAGAGGATACTGTGATTAACATAGTCAAAAGCTTTAGTTAAATCCATGTATAGAGCAGATACTAAGTGATTATTATTAAGGCTTGACATTACAGTACGTAGAAATTGAAAGACAGCTAAATTTATACTTTTATTTTTCCGAAATCCGACCTGTTTCTCTGTGAAGATTTTATATTTTTCGAAGAAATCATTAAGGTTTTGACTTATTACCTTTTCAAAAATTTTAGAGAATATCATTATGAGTGCTATGGGTCTATAATTTGCAACATCACTCTTATCATTTTTCTTAAATACTGGTTGAACTACCGTTTTTTTAATTTATTTGGGAATATTCCAGAGGCTATACTTAAATTTACGATGTAGGATAAAACTGGTGAGATGATGGTTGATACACTTTTTAATACCTTTGTGCTAACGTCATCATAACCTGTGCTATTTGTATTCTTTAATGAATTAATTATATTATTAATTTCGAAAGGAGTCGTTGGGTTCATAAAAAATGAGTTATAATTATTCGGTAATTTGCAGTTAACATTAATAATTGATGATTGACCAAGTAGCTTTAGATTTGTTTGAAGCTGTTTTGATTTTATAGTCATTATGTGCCCTTTGTGTTAACTTTATTATTTTGTTTAAACGTTTTGTGTAACATTTGAACAAATTTCTATTGTGATTAGTCGGATGTTTTCTATATTGCCAAAGTAATTTTCTTTTTTGTTTTGCACATATTTTTATACCTTTCGATATCCAGGAAGGTTTTTTCCGAAGTGTTCTTTTTTATTATTATAAATGGAAAACATAAATTATAAAATAATACTTTATATAATATATTATTTATAATAAACATAAATAATATGAATAATTCATGAAAATAATCGAATGCATAATTTGGATCAGTTGTATTGTAAATTTCGTTAAAAGTAAGTGATTTTAAGCATTCATTGAATTTTTTCATGTTTTCATTACTGTAATCTCTACATTTTATTAACCAATGTGGGAGAGAACAAGTTTCTTTGATTTTACAAGTTAACATTTGGCTTGAGTGATCAGACAGAGCGAATTCAAAAAATATTATATTTACTTCCTCTAATATTGTGTATAAAGTTGTCTAAACAAGATCCACTTACATTACGCGTTGGCTTATTAATGGCTAATTTAAGATTATAGCCAATAATTGTTTGATTTAGAATGTTAGCCTCTATGCTCTTTTTTAAAATGTTTATATTGAAATCTCCACATATAACTATTTTTTTCCTTGCGAAGCACAATGCAGCAAGTATGTCATTAAATATGGCAAAAAACTGATCAAAACTTTGTGAATTTTTTCTAGGTGGTCTGTAAATATATACTATTATTATACCATGCAATGTAAGTTCTATGGCACAACACTCAATTATACCCGAAACGCCATATTTTTCTATAGAATTTAATGTTTTGAACTCATGATGATTGTGAATCAAAATACAGGCACCAACATGACGGTTTTTACGACAAAAAGAGGCTGCAAGTATATAGTTTTCTATGAATAATAATTTGGTGTCACCTTTCAACATATTGTGCTCAGTTAAACATACTACATCAACTAGGATACCCTGTTCCAAAAGAGAATTGAGATTTAAAGTTAAAAGAGCTGACTTACTTATAACGCCATTAATGTTTTGATGTAATATATTTATATGTTTACAGTTAACGTAATAATGTTTTAGATTGTTCTGCAATTACATGGTCAACACAGGTGTTTAACTCCGGTGTATCAGGCCGAGCGTTACCCATAAAATTCATTGCAATTGGCGATTTTGCAGTGCATTTACGTATATTCTTACTTGATTCATCAATGCTACACGTAGTGTCCGTGTTATATGGAAATATTGATATGTCGACTAGTATTCGTTGCATAACATTTTTATATATATTCTGTAATCCATAACTGCTGATTTTATCAGATTTGTAAGAAAACATGTCATACGAGAGATTATATTATATATTATATATAATTCGAATCAAAAATATATGCATATTTATAGTATTGTACATTCATGGATAATAAGCTATTAAACATTTCTATTTTATAATTAAATATGGGGCTCCGCATATATATGTAGGAACACATAATATTATATTTGTATGAGATATGCTTTGTAAACATTCCTGAATAGATTTGACAAGCTCTGAACAATTTACAGTTTTTGTAAAGTCATGTTCTCCTATCAGGACTAAACAGTAGTCATTAATAATATATTTTCGCAGCTTTGTTTTAATACCTGCCAACATTTCCAATACTCCACAGTTTTGTGTGATATAGCGACAGTAGTTAAATTGTTCAGCAAATGTGGATTCAATATCCTGTAATTTACCTTTCACACTACAATTAGTTAAAATACAGAGTTTCCGTTTTCTAATAATAATTTGGCGAGTTTTCATTGATTATTGTTTGCTGACAATATCGCTGCAAATTTTTGTTTTTCTTCAAACTGTTTAGATGTTTCTTCCTTGTCTGAGAACATATCATTTGTTAAATGTATGTTTGTATGTTGGATCATTTGGCTACTCAAAGAATCTTTCTTTTTCTTTTTACGGTCTAATCGTGGTGTAAGTCTTGGATTCGCAATAGTAACTTTTTTTGTATAATTCGATCGTTTTGTTTGCCTTCGCTAAGTCTGATTTGAGTTGTACATTTTTGCATGTTAAATTATCTATTTCCTGGTGTGCAGATTGTAATTCACAGGTCAGCTTTTTATAGTTTCAGTCAGTTCTATTATATCCTTATAATCTAGGGACCGAGTGTCGTCCGGGAGGCTTGTCATAGTGCAATCAAATAATGACGAAGTACTAGAATCATTCATTGATTTTGTTCGTTTACGGTTTCCGACTGTAACATTTTCATCCATAGTGTAACTTATTATTTTGAAATTGCTTTTTATAACGTATTATTCAAATTCAATATTTTGTTATTATAATTATTAAACAAATGTCTCAACAATTTATTTAAATCCGAATAAGTCTTCAGATTAAGCAGGATTCAAACTTGATTGATTGTAGTATGTAGTATATATTGTGTATGACCGTAGAATTATCAGTGATTGTAATTGTAAATTTATAATAAATCGCAAAAAGTCATGTAGGAGCTTAGTTTCGAACCCACGACGATACCACGGTTTAGTAGCGCGTTACGTCTCCACACCACGGTGCCTTGTGATTCTACGACCGAAATTATGGATCGCTTACTAGTTCTATCAGATAACTTTAATTGCAAGTAGGTAGATTCATTTATGAATGTAATTTAAATAATTTTATCTCCTGGTATGTTTCCCTCTTCGCCTCTTACGATGCTCACGGGACGATATGGGTAGTGGATAGTCTTAAACCACCATAATACGATTAATAAACATAAGCAATATTGGAAAAAACTAAAAGTAGCCATACACGCTATGGTGTACCCGTTAGGTTAGGTAAGCCTGTGCTAAGCAGAGGACATACACGTGGCTGTAAACCTGTACAAACTCTCATTTCAAATTCAACTTCGACGCGGTAGCGCTAATTGGTTTATTGTTTGTGTTATTAAATAAAAGGAAATTTAAACCAAAATACCACTAAAAGTGGTGTAAAGCATGGTTACTGCAAATATACAATACAAGCACGTCAACTTACTGAAAGAATAAAAAATTGAGTGGAAAGACTTATGCAATTTTCTATCAATGTATGAAAAGACGTATCTTAAACGGCTATCACCGATGGTTTCCTTAATTTTAAAGCAGGATAAAGTAATGAGAAAAGCTATATTGCCTCGTGAAAGGCCAACAGTGAGTTTAAGATACCTTGCAAAAGGGAGAACATAAGAATGTCTCAAATATTCTGCCATGCAACAACATGCCACAACTGACGCCTGCGCAGGCGACCGCCAATCACTCTCAGTTTTGCTTACATACGGGTATCTACGGGTTTACCTACCTAATTGCCTACCAATAATATACCTAATTCATATCATATAGGGTAGCCTGTACAGCAAACTGCACAAATAAGACCTTTAATAGAAATAATGGTTTTCGGGGATTTGTTTCATTTATTTAGAGTAACTGGTTTGACGATGATTATTAATTTAGATATTAGTTAGTTGGATAGATTTGATAAAATGCCAACTCATAAGGTGCCTCTAGGTCTAGGAGCATCAGCTGATAAGTGAACTGAAGTACGGTTGTGTCGCGAGTGGATATACTAGGTTTGGCACAATGCGCTTCTTGCGAAGATTCTTTCCTAAGTGTTTTCCGTGACTTTATGTAATTGTGTCTACATCCTTCTAGTAGATCGGAGCGTTAAGGTCGTTTCCGAAGGTACATTCCCCGGATCCAAGCCTGTAAATGCTAGTGTTCCACATGGCTGTGTGCTATTTCCTACCTTGTTTCTTCGCATAATAATGATATGTTGCGAGTAAAATTTATTGCTGTGTAAATGACAGCACTGGTGATGATGCTCTGACCAGAATCTAATTCAACGTTTAGAAGACACATTTTGCGCGTTTATCGAAAAAGAAAACAGAATCCTCTTTGTATATACTTATTTTAAAGGCATATTAATCTTGTTGGATCAGTCAATATCGGATTCCACAGTGTTTTCAAAATATTTACTAAAGTTAATTTACCTCTGAAGTGATAGACTAAACAACCCAGAGCACCAAGGGTTCCACACGCTACCAAAAGCCACCTTATTACGCCCACTACACGCTTTGGTATAAACAATTGGTGTTTCAGCATGTTTACAAAAGTTTTGTTTAATTGTATACCCTGAAAAAAAAAAACGTTTTATTCACAATTTAATTAAATTAAAAAATCTCAGAAACAAAAGAACGTTTCGGGCCAAAAAATTAGTTATTAAGATTCAAGAAATTCTCAGTAGCTGCCTGGAGTCAGGAAGTTGGTAGTGTTTTACTCCCGTGCCTAAGAAAGTACGTAAAACCGCTGGTCTTGCACCCGATTTCTCTCCGGCCGTGTCGGTTTACCGCCCTATCAGACTATGAGAGTGAGGGAATAAAGTGTGTGTGTGTGTAAATGATGAGTGATCAACATTCCGTCTGGAGGATTTTATTATTTTATATAAATTTATTTAATTTTATACAAATTTTTTAACTAGGCATTAATATTAGAAAATTAGGAAATACAATACAGCTTATTTCATTGAATTCTTGATCAACTTTGAATATAGCAACAACAGTAAATTTATTTTATTTATCAGGTGCATATGTTAGGGTATAATAGTACTAGGTATTATAGGTATAGTGTAGGTATTAGTGGTAAGAATTCTTTTCTGACTAGGAGTCCGTCTGGGTATGAACCATCCTCTTAAAATCTTTATCACCAGCAGTGCTGGCACTGCTTTTTTCTGGGCAGAAGAGTATAAAGAGCTAATATAATTAAATAAAAAAAAAATGTGTTCATGGCACTGAAGATATTCAAATAAGTAATTTATCATCTTATCTAATGTTGTACATAAAATAAATTAAAAAAAAAGGGCTGTGAGGAATTCCAATTTAGTTAACAGCGGTGACAACGCTGTTGTCTTCTTTGTTTGAAGTTAGCTGCAGGTGTCTTTGGGCTGCAATAATCACTTGTCTTGTTACGTAATCCGTAAGCCTAGTGCACTGTAAATTGATTGTCACTTCAGTTAATTTTTTAATGATTTGTTGATTGCAAATTATTTTCGAGTTCCAGTCCAGTAGGATATGGAGAGTAAAATTATTTATAGGTCGTGACACTTTCTATCTTACTCTTTGACATCGCACCTATAACTTCCATTTTTGTAGTTTGATGTGGCCATTAGGGTGTTACCACACCAATCGATCGATTGGTGATGGTAGAATGGATTAGTCGACTTCGATCGATCAAAATGGCACTGATCGATTGTAGAATGGATTAGTCGAAGTCATTCGATAGATTATACCACACCGATCGGTCGATGGCATTGATCGATTGTAGAACTGCTTCATTATGCCAGACGTCGTCAAGCTGATTTATGATTCTAGAACTCGCCCCGCTCCACCAACCGTTATTTAAAATGTCGTCTAGATGAAGTAAGGTATCTTTGGCCTTAAAAATCGATCGCATACGGAGTCTTCTGCGGTTACGTCTCCATAATAATAATATAGGCAAGAGCGTACTGGCCAACAATAAGATGCTCTATTCAGAACAAAACTGAAAAATACCGATAATGAGCCCACAAACACATCGATTAACTATCGATCGACGTTGATTGATGATTGAACAACGTTTTATCGGACAGTATTCGTCGATCAGGTAAAGCTACCACACCAAACGTCGATCGATTTTATTGATCAAAGTCGATCAACGTCATAGATCGACTATCGATCGATTGATGTGGTAACACACCTTTAGTCACTTACCCTACCATCAGTTGAACCGCTAGCTCGTTAGCCATTTAATTAAAGAAAAGTCAACCGAACATTACCTCTTCGACCCAAAATAAGGGCGCAATTGTATCTGGTAAATCCTTACACAGTTCCATTTTATCTGTCTTGATCAATCTTATGTTGAACTGGACTCTTTGCTTCGCAACTAGAGGCGTGCCCGTTATCTGAAAAGGGATTTAAATACGAATTTAAAAATAGCGAGACACAAGTCCCTGCTAAGCTATAGCCCCTTGGCTTAGTAGGGACTTTCGGCGCTAAGGGCCTTGGATTCAAATCCCGCACGGCACACGTATTTGTATGGCCTACAAATAGTTGTTCAAGGTCTGATGTTTGTTATATATCTTTTATCTTATATAAATTATCTCCAGACATATATTGTTATATCAACTGTCTCCTCGATCTAGGAGCAAAATCCTAGTGTAACGTACGGGGGTAACGTTTTTTTAAACAAAAAATGCATCATCCGCCTTTTTAAGTGTTTTGCTAGATATAAGCTTATTAAGTATATGTTAACTTTTAAAAAACTCGCGGAAAGCAGCGTGAGCGCAGAGGTAAAATTAAGTCTGAATCAATTTCCTGTCATCAGTCAGTAACTCAAGCTTCAGTTAGAATAAATAGTTCTTGTATTCCATATTTGCATCACAGTTTATCCTTTTATTAAGACTGTAAATTAAATCATTAAAATTTGGTAATGGGGGGTATATCTTCGAAGAATATTGAGAATACTTTGATTTAGTTATGCAAAAAAAAATTCTACCCAAATTGTAGTTAACATAAGTAATATATTTATCCTAAAATAATTCTAAGGATCAATATTTACTTGTTACTAAACACCATAAGCACTAGCCGCTGTTACAAACAAATGAAAGCAAGCCACCGTCAATGTATCCCGATTTTAATGTCAAGTCTCAAAATCATAATGCCGTTGATTATTTTAATATCAACAACCAATTTAAGCATTTATTTAACTGTTTTATCTTCAGTAAAACGGGCTCTAATTGAAAAAAAAAAAACAAATAGACAAGAACGAGTTAATGATAATCTCTTAATTAACAAAACATTATGATGAAGTTTCATCCAGTGACAATTATCACAAGTAATAAATCAAGAAGGCTTAATTTTATAATTTAAAAGCTAAATTATTTTTAATTACATTAAATTTGCTTTTGGGACTAAAACTTCAACTTGTTTCTTTCTTTTCTTTTCTTGTAAAAGCCCATAAAAAGAAAGTCCTCTACCTGCATTAATTTTTTTCGTTGTGAGCAGGTCTTTACGCTTAGCAGGCGGACTGGTGATCGTAGTGATACCTTTTACACTGCTACCCGTCGCCCGTCATCGTAGTAGTACTTAGTTATAGAATTACGAACCCATAGGACGAAATGGGATTTAAATGACAAAAGTTGAACAATAATTGGTATTTTTAAGCGGTAGAACCACGCTGCATCTATATTAAGGTTGTTTTTTTATAGGATATGGTGACAAACGAGCACACGGTCCACCTATATTATGCTCGTAAGTGGTTGCTGTGGCCCGTAGACACCTACGTGTATTCTCGATTACAAATCAAAATGCAGATGCGTTGTCAAAAGGGTCTCGGGTTCTCTACACACATCACACAATGCACTATTTTACGCTGGTATTCTGTGAGAGCGTGGTCCTTCCCCGGTCGAGCCGACCCATTCGTTCTACAACTATACTACTAATATACTGCAGCATGGCTCTACCACGTATAAAATGGGTCGGCTCGACCGCTGAAGGACCACGCTCCAGCGGAATTCCAGCGTGAAATATCAGCCTAATGCTGTTGTGTTCCGTATGGTGAGTGTAGAGAACCCGAGATCCTTTTTACTGGAAACGAGGCGTTCATTACATTTAAGTCCTCAGTGGTGACAACGCATCTGCATTTTGATTATTAATCGAAGATAACTTTAGATGTCCATGGACCACTGTATTCACTTACCATCAGATGGAATCTGTGGGCCATCTGTTACGCTCATTATAAAAAATAATTACGAACAATATCGTGTCGGCAATTAATTCACAGTAACTTTATTACTGCTGTAGCAAGAATGGGTCACCTCGGGACAAAAGCCAGGCTCACACAAAACACCAGCGTGAAATATAACATAATGCTTCTGTGTTTCATACGATAAATAATAAGAAATGGAAATCCTTTAACTGATCACGAGGCATTCTGCTTTAGTCTTCAGGAGTGTGAATATGTGTATATGATTCAAACTATTCATTTACTATCAGGTGAACTGTGTACTCATTTGTCACATTCCCTTTTTTTAAATTGCGTATTTGTATATTATATAAAGGGTTATTTTGCAATAACCGGCCAAATTTGCAGAGAAGGTTTAGAACAACATAGGCAAATGGCGAAGAAAAATTAATTTAAAAAATGTCAAAAATTCTGTTCTTTTCATCTTTTAAATTCAAAATGCGTGGTAATGCATTATTTTAACTGATTTACTGCGCAAGCACACATTCGTAAGGGTCGATTGGCAGGCAAAGACGTTATTGCCCCCAAATCACATTCAATTTGGGATAATTTCAAATAAAAGTAGAAGTCTTATTTACTCCTATTTTCTAAAAATGTAAAATTTATATATTTGAACTTTACCATTATTTAAATATTTTAACTTAAGTTTCAAATTTTGCTACACTTCGAAAAATAACCATGTGTGTTATTATTATTATTTATCAAAAGGTCACTCCTTATTTTTAACTGCAAATTAGTGAACAAGAGGTACTAACCGGTTCGAAATCGATAGCAATCTCATGCTCGCTAACATCTGGATTTAAACCTTTTACACCTTCTAATAGTTTTGGATCACAGTCCAAGAAATGTGGTAGTGAGACGTACATTGGAGCTCCAATACACTTTGACAGGTCCATAAGACCTTTCGGCGGGCATGTTTCTAGGGAATCGCAGTAACACTGTAGTTCGGGATCGTTAGCGTAGTCTCCAATATTGGTGATGTATCGGTTAGTTTTGATACCACGGTAAGAGCTTTTCCTCTGATACCAGGCCTTAAACGATCTGTTAAAGAAATAAATTGTGATTTTATTTAATTTTAAAAAAGAAATTTGTTAACGTTTTAGAAAAAATGATTAAACTAAAAAAAATGGTCAAGTGCATGTTGTACCCAATCAGCGTTCCCTCCTCTATACCAAAATTATATATTTTTATATTATCAGCAATTGCTGACAGCCAATCGAAACATTTTTGAAAAAAGAGATTAATAATAATATTATTTCAATTAATTCTGATGATTTTCATTTTATTAGCAGTATTCATGATTTTAAAAAATCGTACCAATCGTAGGAGATATTTTATATAAATGTAAAATATAATTAAAAATAACATAAATTGCACATTTTTGATACTGTGCTTCAAAGACTTAAAAACCTGATAACATCACGATAACCTCCAGAAATTGACAAAAGTACAGAGTAGAAAGAAATACAGAAGTAGACAAAGTTCTATCATTAACGTAAAATACTCTCAGACTGTTCCACCTCCTCTGTGACAGATAGATTTCGAGGTGATCAGGTATACGTACAGTCTAAATTTAGGTCATGTTTTTTTTAAATTAAATATTACTAACCTGCATAAATCACCAGAAAATGTCTGTAGGCGATCGGATTCAGTCAAAAACGGCGGAAAAATTGTACCATCAGTTCCTTGGTACTCATTGCAAGAGTCTCGAAACAATTCCATTTTGGGTTTGCCGTCTACTTCGACTACTTTGCCAACATCCATAACATTTTTCATTCCACGTTCGACAGTCACTACGTGGCTGTCAGCTGTACCATTACGCTGTTGGTAGACTTTATTAGACCTCACATTCATTTCATGGAAATTAGGGAATATTAAGTGGTAGAGCCACGCATCAGCTATATTATGGTTGTAGCACCAATGGGTCGGGTCGCCGGGGTAGGACCATGCACTCACAGAATACCAGCGTAAAATAGCAGCTTAATGCTGCTGTGTTTCGTATGCTGAGTGTAGAGACCCAAAAACCATTTTTACTAGAAACAAGGCATTCCATCTCAGTCCTCAGCTCAATCTGCATTTTGATTCTCAATCGAGGGTAAATGTAGATGTGTATGGGCCACGTCCTCCATTTACCATCATCAGGTGGACTGTGTGCTCGTTTGTCACCCTTATTCTATAAAAAAATCTCCTTCTCTTTTATCAACTCATTAAAGTCCGCTGCTGGCTCACATCGTTACAAGGGCTCCTATCGTTGTACTGATTGAGTTTGGATTTGCTTTAATAGCTACACCTGGTAAACGGATTGACTACCGCTGCATCAGACGTCTCGCATTTGTGTCGTTGACCTCTGTTCGTGTTATGGATATTTTACGTCTAGTGTAAAAACGATATAAGTTGCATCCATGCTCAATCTAGCATTTTCCAAAGTCATCTCTTACGTTACCCATTGGACGGAAATAGCTGATATATGTCGGATTTAAAATATAAAAAAATGTTGAATTCTGATTACGTTTTATGTACTTAGGGTAACGGACAAGCAATTCTAAACTAAGTATACTGGGTGGTTGAAAAGAAACTCCCTATCTTTATTTCGTTGTAAACTTTACCAGCTTCAACCAAATTCATGTAATCTTATGTAATCTTTTTCTTTCCAGATTGAGAATTAGGTAAACATCATAAAATGGCTCAAGGGAGATTGTCAATGCAAGAGCGAGCGCAAATTGCCTCTCGCTACGAAGTGTGGCAATCAATAGTGGAAGTGCAAAGGTGGTGGCGGAATTTCAACGGACCTCATGCTGTTTTGGATCCAAAAACCATTAAAAACTGCCATTCAAAGTTGATGAAAACTGGATCAGTGGCAGATAGTAAAAGAACCGGCCGTCCTTCAACATCAGGATCAGAAGAAAATATTAAAATTGTTCGAGAGATGTTCACAAGAAGCCCCTACAAGTCAACACGTCAAGCAGCTCGTGAGAGCGGACTTACACGGCACACTGTAATGACAGCCCTTAAGTCTTTCAGCTTTCGTCCTTGGAGGCCACATTACTGCCATGAAATAACTCCAGAGGACTGTGATCGCCGGATGGAATACGGAGAGATTATGCCTGGATGGCATAGAGATTGGTCAGAACTGTTTGATAACGTTGTCTGGAATGACGAAGCAATTTTTCATGTTGGGGGCTTTGTTTACCGTCATAACTGTCATTATTGGGCAGAGTTTGATCCCAAAATAATTGCTTAGAAAATGCAAAACCATCCCAAGGTAACAGTTTGGTGTGGTATGACATCAAGTCAAGTTATTGGCCCGTTTCTTATGGAGGGAACAGTGAATGGAGAGCGCTATCTCAACGTGCTCGAAAACAGAGTTTGGTCAGCTTTGTCAACGTTTGATAACATTCAAAATATGATATTTATGCAAGATGGAGCTCCACAACACTTCGCATTGAATGTCCGACTGTGGCTGGGTAACCGCTTCCCAGGGCGTTGGTTAGGTCGTCGCGGACCACACGAATGGTCTGCTCGTAGCCCGGACCTCACGCCTTGCGATTTTTTCCTGTGGGGTTGGGAAAAGAATGAAGTCTATCGCTCAAAACCTCGCACTCTTGATGAACTGGAAGTAAGAATTCAGCAAGTGCTAACAAATGTACCTAAACACTTTCTACAAAAGTCCGTAGCAGATATGCCAAGACGTTTGCAAAAACTGGTAGAAAATGTAGGCGCTTATATTGAATTCTGAATTATTCTTTTTTTTTTAAAACTCACATTGTACAGTTTTATTTGCTTAGTGGTTTGACAAATTAATGTAAAAAATTAAAATCTTATAAACAAATAAAGATAGGGAGTTTCTTTTCAATCACCCTGTAGATGTAGATGCCTATGGGCTTTAGCTTCACTGTATGCTCGCTTTTTACACTTCTATGAAAAACCATCTTTTCACCACCGATGCAATGTTTATGCGGTATGTAAAAGTTCAAAGTTTTAAAACTTTATTAAACTAAGTTGTTGTTTATTAAACTGTAAAAATGGTTATTATAATATTAAGGAATTTATGGATGATAATAACCCCTGGGAAAAAGTGATTGCTACCATTTATATTTTGTTTTGTGTTGATTAATTGTATAATATTTTAGCGACATTACTAAACGACATTAATTGTGTAATATTTTAGCGACAGTAGCCTAATGGCAGGGCCACTCAAAAAGGTCGTGGGTTCGAATTCGCCACTCGACTACCGGCGTGAACCACTCGTAACACAAGCAATTTAAGCTTAACACGAATGGTTAAGGGGAATATTATTAATGTTTATAGCATCGTTAATATTCTTTTAAAAAATATACATGATTGTAAGCTGTTATTTAAAAAACAAGTCCCGCTGGGTTTCTCGCTGGTTCTTCCCAGGACAGAGGTTTTTTTTCAAACTCGCGGTAATTAAACAAAAGAGTGACTTTCAATAAGTATTATTTAAAATTTATATTGAAAAAAAAAAAAACTTTCTGTTTCTGTTCTCTGTCTTTACAACATAAATAAATAATCACATAGAAACGTATTCGTCTCATCATCACATAATGCTGCTGTTTTGTAAGGTTAGTGACAAAAACTGGAGGCCCTTTTTATTACTGATAACGATTTGATTCATTGATGATATAGAGTTCTACAGTTGCGGATGCAATTGTGAGATAATAGATGTACACAGGTGTATATGAACGAATGGTTTGTTTTTAATTTTTATCTTATTTGTTTATCTATTAGCGATCCGCTGCGGTTCCAACCAGGTCCAATTGTGAATCTAAACCATATAAACCTTCCTCTTGAGTAATTCTGTCTATTGATGAAAATTGCATAAAAATCGGTTACGTAGTTTAAAAGATCTAAGCGTACTGATGGCGGGAAGCGACTTTGTTTTAAACAATGTAGAGATTTACCATCAGGTGGATTATGCGCTCGTTTTTGTTGTGCCTTTAACATGGTGAATAAAAAAAATAATTACCATGCCAAATATAGAAAACATGTATTGATTATTTGGTAAGAATATCAGTTGTCCCGCTGCTTCTTTCTTCAGGGCTGTGCAAACTGCTTTAGGGGCAAACTCTGTTCGTGCGCAATTAATAACAACTCCTCTGAACAGTATATCTAAGGCTTTCACACGCATGAAAATGTCTTTGGGATTATCAAGTATCCCATTAAATGCTTTGCCCATCATGTTGAGCATTGCCGGTTTATCTCGGTGCACAACTCCCACCACAGTCTGAAAATATTTAATACGAAAATGAAAGGTTTTTCTTATTTTGGCTGAAGAGTACTTTAAGTTTTATTATTCGATGTCGTATAATTCTACTATTGTGAAAATTGAGTGCTGATTTTCTTATTCCTTCTTAATAAGTTCCTAAAAGTCCTAAATTGAGTTAGAATTATTTATTTAATCGAATTCGTATGGTGAGTGTAGAGAACCGGAGACCCGTTTTACTGGAATCGAGGCATTCCATCTTAGTCCTCAGAGGTGACAACGCATTTGCATTTTGATTCTTAATTGGGGTTAAATGTGGATGTCTATGGGCCACAGCATCCACTTACCATCAGGTGGACTGTGTGCTCGTTTGTCACCCAATGTTATAAAAAATTGCTGTGTGGTGATGGCATAAGGCAATCAGGGATCAGGTTCAGATGGTAAATACCCAAACCCGCGATAAGCAGAGGTATCAAAGGTGCAAGACGTCTGATACTGCGGTCATTAATCACCTGCCGCCAAGTGGTTCTCAAATTCTCCCTATAAGGAGAGAAGCTCTGAAGGGAAATTAAGGCACCGATGAATTAGAAAGACTCACTATCGAGCTATCATGGCTACTAATCAAACCTCTGTAAGTTTTTTTAGAATAAGTGTGACAAACGAGCCCACAGTCCACCTTATGCTAAGTGGATGTTGTTGCCCATAGACATCTACAGAAAACCTCGATTAAAAATCAAAATGCAGGAGCGTTGTCACGCCTAATTACTAAAATCCAATGCCTCGTTTCCAGTAAAAAGGTTCTAGGTTCTCTACACTCATCATCATTATTTTAGATTTTGCTTAGAGAATCAGTGCCTGAATTAATGAATTTTCGTGAGCTTTATTACCATAAATCGGACCAAACATTAATAATTAAAGGTTGGAAGGATCATCATCATCATCATTACAGCCCTTCACAAGTCCAATGCTGAACATAGTCCTCCCCCAAGTAATGCCACAAAGCACGGTCCTGAGCCACCTGCATCCATCGACTTCCTGCATATCTTACCAGGTCGTCACTCCATCTAGTGGGGGGTCGCCCTGCACTATGCCTACTGGTACGAGGCTACCACTCGAGAACCTTTCTTCCCCATCGGTTATCGGTTCTTCGAGCTATATGGCCGGCCCATTGCCACTTCAGCTTACTAATCCGTTGGGCTATGTCGGTCACTCCTGTTTTACTGCGGATATCCTCATTTCTGAGTCTATCACGCAGAGAAACTCCGAGCATAGCCCTTTCCATAGCTCGCTTAGTGACCTTGAGCGTCCTCATACGGCCAGCAGTGAAGGACCACGTCTCAGATCCGTAAGTCATCACTGGCAACACGCACTGGTTGTACAGTCTAGTTTTTAGAAATTGAGGTATACCTGACGAGAAGATATGTCGTAATTTCCCGAACGCTGCCCAGCCGAGTTGAATCCGTCGATTGACCTCTCGGTCGAAGTTGGACTTTCCTAGTCGGACTATTTGTCCCAGGTAAACGTACTCGTCAACAACTTCGAGCATAGTGCTCCCAACAACTACCGGCGTAAGTGTGACATGGACATTAAACATGATCTTTGTTTTGTCCATGTTCATCTTAAGACCTATCCGTTGGGAGGCACTATTGAGGTCATTGAGCATAGTGCTTAAGTCCTCCAGCGATTCTGCCATAAGGACTATATCGTCGGCAAATCGAAGGTGAGTGATGTACTCGCCATTGATGTTAATACCGTATCCTTTCCAGTCCAGTAGCTTGAAAACGTCTTCCAATGCAGCGGTGAAGAGTTTCGGGGATATAACGTCACCCTGTCTTACACCTCTCTGTAGTTGGATAGGTTTCGAGCTCTGGTTCTGTACTCGGATAGCCATCATAGCCCTACTGTACAAACACTTCAGCACTTCGATATACCGACAGTCAACTTGGCACCGTTGAAGGGACTGTAGCACCGCCCAAATTTCGACGGAATCAAAGGCTTTCTCATAGTCCACATACGCCAGGCAAAGTGGCAGATTGTACTCTTCAGTCTTCTGTACAATCTGCCGCAGGGTATGTATGTGGTCTATGGTACTGAAGTCTTTTCGGAAACCGGCTTGTTCGGGAGGCTGGAAGTCGTCGAGTCTGCGTGCGAGACGATTCGTAATGACTCTCGAAATCAGCACATAGACGCGGCTCAGAAGGGAAATTGGTCTGTAGTTCTTCGAGAGAGCGTTGTCGCCTTTCTTAAACAACAAAACCACCGCACTTCTGCTCCATGCCTCTGGAGTAGTGCCACCATGGAGGACGGAATTGAAGAGCTTCTGAAGGACTTCAAGTACCGGTGTTTCACCCACTTTCAGAAGCTCCGCTGTAATTCCATCCTCGCCTGGGGCCCTGCCATTTTTAAGGTGCTGGAGAGCCATTCTAATCTCGCTTAGACTGACGTTCGGGATATCATCGGAATAGTGTCGGATAAGACTTGCTCTTGGATCGCTACTCACACTTGCGTGTGGCTCCAACGACGATGTGTACAGCTGAATTTAGAACCTCTCAATCTCACTCAAAATCTCATGTGTCCCGGAAACGATGCTGCCACACTCAGTCTTCAGCTTTGACAGTTGGCTCTTACTGGCAGACAGATCTCTGGCAAAGACTTTGGAGCCCTGGTTCCGCTCGATCGCTTCTTTAATACGAGCAGTATTAAAGTTGCGTAAGTCTCGCCGCATGCATTTGGAGATCTGTCTGTTCAGTTGCCTGTATGCTGTCAAATCTGTTGACGTTGAGTTCATCATAAAGAGTCCCTCTTTCTCCATAAAGTCGGCCAGCTGATGGACCCTTCGGTTCCGTTGCCCTACTCCAAATTTCCCTAACTTCAGCTCACCGTTTTCTCTTGTGCCTAGTTTTGGGTTGAAGTCTCCCATCAACACCGTGTAGTGGGTTTTAGAGGAATGCATGGCTTTGGAAATATCCTCATACATTTCCTCTACCTCCTCATAAGGATGTGTCGAGGTTGGTGCGTAAACCTGTATGACCTTCAGCGAATACCGTTTGGTGATTCTGAGTATCAGGTACGCGACCCTCGTCGACACACTCCCAATCTTTACAACGTTGTTGACGAGAGACTTGTGGACGATAAATCCGACACCTCCTTGGGACAGATGGTCGCCCTCCCGGTGATAGAACAAGTTGCCGGATTCGAGAATCACCGTGTCCTCCCCCTCTCTTCGGACCTCGGATAATCCTATAATATTCCATTCCAATTGCCAGGTTGAGTCGTCGTAGGTGGCAACCGAACCTCCACCGGAGATTCTTAGCACCCCTGCCCCGCCGTTACCATGGTCGCCACCGTAGCCAGGAATAGCGGGGCCGCCGGGGACTGGGGGCCGTCTATTTGTGTAATTGTTCATGGGGGGTATATTGCCATAGTTGCCACGCTTGGCGAGCGGGTTGGCAACCGCAGTTTTTTTTGTCGTACAGTTGCTGTTATCAGGAAGATGCTGCTGCCCATCTCCTGCCTGTTTCCCTCTGTCGCCTTTTACGACACCCACGGGAAGATATGGGGTAGTGGATATTCTTAACCGCCACTACACGGCTTAAAGGTTAAATATGGTTTTAGTTAACTATGACATTGACATGTCAGTCTTCAACATCTTAGTCCCTCCGTGACTATGGTTGCTGTAAAGTGCCCGAAATGTCGAGAGTTAAAATGTTAAAATTAAACACGATATAATCTGTAAAATTAGTTTTATCCCATGCGTAGTATTCGCGTAAATATAAGAAACCATTAGCTTTATTACCATTAAGAAGATGTGGGGAATAACAAGTATTTCTTCTCCAGTCAGGCCGGGTCCAGAAAGTTCTTTTTTAAAATAAAAAGTATCAAGTTTCTTGTACGTGATCGTGTCCGTGTCTTCATGATCTTCAACTTCTACTTTTTCTTTCCATTCCCTGTAAAAATGAACTTATTATTTTATACAATTGGCGGTAGTGTAACAAACAATTTAATATAGTAATTTTTTTTGTACGCACGGTGGGACAGGGAAACTTCTAAACCAATTTCGATAGTACCTACACATAAAGTGATGTGTAACAAGTGCTGGCCGTGGCTAAGTGCTCGTTTTTAATTATAGTCTGTCGATTAAATGTGTTTACATGACATTTTAGTAACTTTTTGTTATCGGATACTGGCAACTAACTAATGACTGGATTTGTAGTTCAACTAAAATATTTTTATACTTACACTTTATATAATATATAAATAATATTGTAAATTTTATATTTATATCTTTTTTACTCTTTCTCGTGTAGCCATAACCAAGGTTGAAGAGGGTGGATAAACGAATCAAAGCGTATGGCGTGGACACCAGGCAAAGGAAAAGCGTTTATAACTGGCCGTCCTAAAAAAGGCGTTATTGATGCTTGACAAATGTGCAATACTTCATAACATTAATGAGTATTACGTAGTTTGTAAATAGATACCATCATTATGTATATTACCGATAGAGCTAAAACAAGACATACAACTTTAAGAGAGATAGGACAAGAGATATTCACGGTAGAACTGCCTCAATTCATTATACACTTTGAATAAAGTAGTAGCGGTAATAGTGACGACTATGAAGTAAGCACAAATTCGCTTACCGTGAGTTTGCACTGATGCGATTTTCACGAAAAAATATGTTTTAAACACCATTTTCTGTCAATGTATCAAAAAGCGTTTGCACAGCCAAAGAACATGTTGTAGTGAAATATGTTTGACAGTACATATTTTAACTATATTATATTTTTAACCACAGAAAAAAAATTTTGAAAACAAATTTGTAGAAATATTGTCATGTTGAAAGATAAGTTTGAATATCTGTTTAAAAAATTTATATAGTTTTTGTGAGTGCCAACGCCATCATCAACAAAACATGTTGTATGATTTATTTCATGCGATTTGTTTCAAAACATTATGTGTTGAATGTGCAAACGTACTGTTAGTGATACAATGTCAGCTGCTAAATATTTAGAAAGTGATTTTGACTACGACTCGTAGTAAATATGTCTTCGATTTTCGTCTTTTTTTGACTGATTGCACCTAAAATCACATAATCTTTATATCATTTCCAGAATGCTTGTTTTCTAAATAAGTGAAGTAAAGTTAAAGATTATATACGTGCCACTGCTGGGCACAGGCCTCTTCTTATTTCTGAGAAGGTTTTAGGGTTTAATATGTCTTATTTCTCCGTCATGCAGGTTTCCTCTCGTTGTTTTCCTTCATTGCCGAACACGTGGTAAATCAGCACTTAAAATTGCAATTAACTGGTACCGGCGGAATCGTTCTGCGTTGTTCGTGTTTGTTAAAATTTACAGTGAGTGCTGAGCCCCTGAGCTACTACGGCCCTGATTTAGAAATATTAAAGATGTAATATTATAAATAAAAAAAAATCAAGAGTTCTTCATATCAAGTATCGAGATTTGTCAGTATATATATTATACTATATACTTATGATAGTATTTCCAAGTAGGGTTTTTAAAGTCCTTATTATTATCCCATGTTAACACATTTTATCGACAGAGTATTTACAGTACGCGAGCAACTCAACCTCTACATTTACCGAAGAGTACAATTTTCCAGTTTGCCTCGCGAAAGGGGACTATGAAAAGCCTTTGATTTAGTTAAATTTGGGAGGTGCTACAGTTCCTTCAGCGGTGCCTAATTGAATGTCGGTATATCGAAGTGTTAAAGTGTTTGTACAGTAGGGCTACGATGGCTATCCGTGTACAGAACCAGAGTAAGAAATCCATCAAAGTGCGGGTAGGTGTAAGTCAGAGTGACGATATATCCCCGAAACTCTTTACCCCTGAATTGGAACATCAATGGCGAGTAAATCACTCACCTTCCATTTGCCGACGATAAAGTCCTTATGGCAGAAGCACTGGAGGACCTAAGCACTATGCTCCATGACCTCAATAGTGTCTCTCAATGGATAAGTCTTAAGTAGAACATGGACAAAACAAAGATCATGTGTAACGTCCATGTCACACCTATGCCGGTAGTTGTTGGGAGTAATAAGTTCTAAGTTGTTGAGGAGTTTGTTTACCTGGGACAAATAGCACTCTATGGCAGCAGAAGACTTCTGCTGGAATTCTCACATTGCAAAGAAGATTTATTTAATTACTACGCTTCACAGGCGATTTCAAAGTCAAAGTTAAAGTGAAAACCATTTAATTCAATTTAGGCTTATTTAAAGCTCTGATAGACTTCAAAATATATAACGGATTTAACATTATATCAGTAGCCACTTGCAAGTGCAGAGTAATAATTCTTTCACACATCTTTTTCCTATATATTTATCACTTTCATAGCAGGTATTTCTTACAATTTTTTAACAAGTTAGAAAAAAAAATAAGTTATTTTTAGACACCACATTGTAAAATTTTAGTTATATACCTACATGAAGAGTATTTGCGAGTTTTAGCAAATCCAAATTTAGGAAGCCCTAGAGTATCACCTCGACCCGATAATGAGCAAAATTAAAAAAAAAATCAACCCATCCAACTGTAGATATTTTCAGAGGTTATATATATATATATATATATATATATATATATATATATATATACAAATTCTGTGGTAACATGGGAACCTCTGAACAAGCGAATGGATAAGGAAAATACCGCTACACGATAAGCAACACGCTTACAGCTTAGGTAAATTGACAGAATTAGCACTTCACTTTGTAAGGACAAAGATTAAAGAGGCTATTTTATTTATAGTATAAGGGTGACAAACGAGCACACAGTCCACCTGATGTCAAGTGGATGCTGTGGTCCCTAGACATCTACAGTTATCTTCAATTAAAATCAAAATACAGATGCGTTGCCAGCCCTGAGGACTGAGATGGAATAACTCGTTTCCAGTAAAAAGGATCTTCGGTTTTCTACACTCACCGTACGAAACACAGCACTATTAAGGTGCCATTTTACGCTGGTATTCTGTGAGAGCGTGGTCCTAACCCGGAGCACGTGGTAATCATAAAAATGTCATTTTAATTCTCGATTAAAAACACCCAAATCGTTTTATTGGATTGGATTCAGTATTGAGATTGCCACCAATTATAGTGCGGGTGAAAGAGGCTTTTTAAAACTTTAGGTTCCTAATAGTTATCCGTCTTGAGTAGTGGTAACGTATCTGCACTTTGATTCTTAATCAATATAGATATAGATGTCTATGGGCTACAGCATCAACTAACCATCAGGTGGACTGTGCGCTCGTTTGTCACCACCATTCTATAAAAAATTGCACTGAAAAAACCCTCGGGGCATGAACCTCACAAGCAGCTACTTCTCACTTGGTTAAATATCCGTGGCGCTGTCACGTGTCAGCGATGCTATTGATTTATCTTTCTATCATCACAAATGAAAATTTGCTTATGAAGAGATACTTTATTTAATACATGTTATTTCGATAGGGTTCCGTACTTAAAAAATCTAACCGGTACCTTTTTGATGAATTTGATCGCTTATTGGTCTACATATGTGTCATGTCATTCTTCCCTGTGACAAGTAAATTGATATTGATATGAAATTTGGCATAATTGCTTTGCTCTAAACCGAATTTTGGTCTCGTCAGCTCGTCTTAACCGAGACTAGCACAGGGCAGAAATATAGTATTCGAGTTTATGCGTAAGCATATGTGTGCAATTTATTCCCTTACTCCCATAGCCCAATGGGATGGCACACCTACACGACCGGAGAGCAGAGGTCAGAAGCAAGACCAATAAACGGCAACTTACGTGCTTTCAGAGTTACGGGGTTGAAACTCTGCCAACTTCTTGACTCGGGGCTATTACTAAAAGTTTTTTTGACAGAAAAACCTCCGTGATCGCAATTTACGACTACTAGACCAATACTGTAGTCAATTAATCAACTTGTTGATATATTATATTATAGTACCCAATAAAGCGTCAAGCTGATTAAATTACCAAATTAGCTTTAAAACAATCAAGCAAAATAATTCTTTGTAAGCGAAGTCGGAGACATAGTTAATGTAAAATATATTGCTAGGTATATTAAATTTTAGTAACGTTTTTCCAAATAAAAAGAACGATATACAAAGAAGAAATATTCAATACATAATAATACCTACGAAGCTATTATTATGAATCATGGACAAGAAATCACATTATTTACTGAAAAATACACGTGTATTCCATATATGACAAATACACGTGTACTTTTCCATGAATTCTCATTTATGTTTTATGAAAATGAACTAAAAGTGTCCGCTAGGTAAATGGGGCAAAATTTTCTAAGCATTTCTAATCTCAAGTGTGCTTAGCACAAAGTTTTTCTCAAGCCGATAAAGCTATATTATTCTTTTAACTGCTTTCTTTGAATTGCTTTGTGCATGTTCGTATCTAGTGATCGGTAACGCGTCTGTTGATCATGAGAGCCCGGGTTCGAATTAGGCTCGGGAGAAATCAGTGATTGATTTTACATGCGAAGGTGCGCGCCTTTTTAATAAGATACCCTCGGAAATAAAAAAAATGTAGACTCGTTCAATGTATTCAAAAAACGACTAGCAAATCATATAATCACAAACAAATCTATCTGAGTGCGTTGGACTGGTTTGTTCCTGGTCTTAGTATTATGGTACTAAGGTGATAGTGAATACCAGAATTTAACTTTTCTTTTATTTGTATAGAAATTTTCCCGTTGATAGCTGTTGTTTGATGTTGTTTATTTTTCAACAACATAGGTACGACAATGAATTTTGTTATTTAGATTTACTTTTATTTATGTTCTCATGTAAGTGAAGTATAAAATATCTGTATGAGAATAAATGTCTTTAAACCTATACCTAAACCGAATGTCGTCTAATAATAAAATAAGCATCTCAAAATGCCAGACCCAGAACTATAACACGTCCCTGAGGATAGTTCACATGTAATATCAACTAACATGCATTAGTGCGGCGCGGTGGACTCTTTCCTACCCCGTAATGTTATTAGAAATTAGAAATGGCCTGTGTTCAGGAGTAATAGCCTATTTGTATGGGAGGTATACAATACAATCCAATACAGTATAATATCTTTATTTCAGGCAGGCATCATTGTATTGAATAAAACAATTTATACGGATTTTATCGCGTTTAATTAACTTATTTTTAAAAGTATGTTTGAATTTAATTTTGTTAATTATAGGATCCCAATCAGATGGTAGCACCGATCCATTTTTTCTATTGAAATTAGGATGCTTTTTTATTTCAATAGCTTCGCGTATCATCCTTGGTAGGAATCGGTGTATTTTTGCGAGAATCCGTGATTTATCAAATCTGATGTAAGAGAGACAACACACAATGCAGATTTATGGAGCGTCGGTGTTTCACGTCAGCTATATGTTCTTTCACGCGGGTTTTTATAAATCTTTTGGTTTGTCCTTTGTGAGAAAGACCACATTCACAATCAAGCTTGTAGACTCCTGCATCTGCGGAACCAGAAGCATGTTGTCTTGCAATACTTGCTTGACGTGCTGAAGCTCGGCGGCCAGATGTTTTCTGTCACAGACCTACCATATGGATCTTATACAAATTGTGAACAATAGTGTTATCAGGATTTCGGATGACTAAAATATCTAAGAATGCTAAAGAATCATTTGCCTATAACTTCACTGTGAATTGTATTTTTGAGTTTATGGAGTAAAAGTGGTCTAAAAATGCTGTTTATAACTTTGTCAGTTGGTAAAATTGTGAAAGTGTCGTCTACGTACCACTTGTAGAATCTTGGATTTACAGGAGCTGTAAGAAGGACTTTCTTCTCAAAGTTCTCCAAGAATATGTCGGCAACTATGGGAGATACAGATGAGCCCATCGCCACACCATCCACTTGCTTGCTTGTAGAAATCCTTCTTCCGCAATAGATAGCCAATTCATTTTCTATTCATTCATTTTCTAGTCTTTTAGCTCACTTACAAATAGTATGAATCCTTTGTGTGTGCTCTGGTATGTATTCTCAGCGGTGACAGTATTTTTGCGAAGGGTTGAGCCAACTTATAAGTCGGTGAATCGATCTGGCTCACTATAAGATGTAGTGGAGCGTTTGTTTTATGTATCTTCGGTAACCCATGCAACCTCGGTGATTCGGCACATGATTGTATTATCGAATTGACGTCGAGATTTAATTTTTCAGAGTTTTTCTTTATTAAATCCCTAATTATTTCTATTAAGCGTATTAATTGTAGGGTCTTTTTCTTCTTAAGGTGCCACTTCTCTACAGGTTGGCGACCATCATGGCTATCTTTATCTTTGAAGCTGCAGCATGGAAGAGAGAGCGAGTGCTGAGGTTAAACCATTCACGAAGTTTCTTCAGCCAGGACGTTTTTCTTCTGCCAGGTCATCGTTTTCCTTCGATTTTTCCTTGAATCATAAGCTGAAGAATACGATATTTGTGTTCTCTCATTATGTGTCCAAAATACTGCAGCTTCCTTTCCTTAACGGTCCTCATTATCTCCAACTTCTTATTCATTCGACGCAGAACCTCAACATTTGTTATTCTCATAGTCCAGTATATTCGAAGCATACGTCTGTATACCCACATTTCAAATGCTTCAAGTTTTGTACATAATGTCGAGGTTAAGGTCCAACTTTCAACCCCATACATTACTGACACTGAATACATAATAGCGCACCAGTCTCATGCGGAGTTTTAGGTTAAAGCGTTTACAACATAAAAACCCTTTTTTAGCTTCATAAAGGCACTACGGGCTTGTCCTATACGGACTCGAATTTCCTGTTCGCTACTCCATTGCATTGGGTTATTCTCCAAAAGTATTCATTTATCTCTGGGGTCTTATATACCACCATAAAATTAGTTTTTTTTTGTGTTAATTTTTAGTCGGTATTCGTTGCTCGCCACATTTATATGATCCAACAACGTTTGTATGCCTACAATATCCATATCATCGCAATAAGAATTATGTCATCAGCATACCGTATATTGTTTACGACTTCTCCATTTATCACTATACCTTCATCGACTCCATAGGGATTCGGCCATGATTCTTTCGGCATATACATTAATCAATACAGTCGATAAAATACACCCTTGTCGTGTATTTCATCGCCCATATTATTTAATGTATATGTATATATTCTTCGCACTTCTGGTAAATGCGAGTGTGTATAACTTTTAAAAACATCTTGAGAACATAGCTCATTAAGCTAATTGTTCTGTGGTCTTCACAGCGCTTTGAGTTTAGTATTTTGGGTATAGTGATAAAAGTAGATTTCAACCAGTCACTGGGGAAAATACCAGTTTTGTTAACTATGTTGAATAGATTTTTGAGGACTAGGGACGATTTGTATAGGGTATATGGATGTAAGGATTTGTATAGGGATGTAGGGACGATTAGTTGTAGGATCTATTGCGACCTTTTTGTATGAACTTTTGTCAGATAAAAGTAGTTGCACTTTAAAATTATACATTGTGGCCTACCGTGTCTATTATTACCCTAGCATTCCTTTATCCGCGCGGAGAATCTCTGTGTCTCTGAGTGAACTCTGGTATATGGCTATCTATTGTGGAAGAAATAGTTTTACAAGCAAGTAGACGGTGTTGCGATGGGCTTACCTGTACCTCCCACTGTCGCCGATATATTCATGGAATAATTTGAGGAAAAAGCCCTCCTTAGTAACTAACTCCACTTGGAGCTACTTGCTAAGTAACTCCAAGGTTCTACGAGTGGTCACATTGATGAGCTGGCCACAGTCAAGCGAGTGCCTGCTGTACTACCATATTATGTCAGAAGTGTCACAGACAAGATTGGCTACATCTTAAAGTTAGTTCTATTAGAACATTTTACAAGCCACCGAAGAAAATAAGTCAGTTCTTACCATCATTCAAGTGTAATATACGTCTATAAGATGCAGGGGTGTACAAGCTTGATTTTGAATGTGGTCTCTCATATATAGGGCAAACAAAAAGATTTATAAAAACCCGCGTAAAAGAAAATATAGCAGACGTAAAGCACCATCGCTCCGGGTACAAAGTCTGCAGTTTGTGATAATATTCTAGACGGCCCCCGCCATTACTGAAAAACATTGATTCCTGCCAAGGATGATACGTGAAGCTATTGAAATTAAAAAAGCATCCCGATTTCAACAGAAAAGCTGGGCACTACCACCTGCACACACTACACTACACTAACAAGTATCTAATTTGTTAAGTGTAAAAGGATATTTTATTTTATTTTATTATGATTTCCTTTCAGCCTAGGACTCCTTCTGTGTCCTACCCTCTTGCCTATATCTACGGGAAAGCAGCAATGCATATAGTGCCGGTCTGCCAGAATACCAGTATATTTACAGAATGTGAGGCATTCAGGTGTCCGTGGGCTGCGGTATTTACTTGTCATACTGTACAGATACACTATTGGCTCGCTTATATGATGTTTACATTATGAGATAACCACGCAAGAAGAGGGCTTCAGAAGGAAGCCGCAGGTCCCTGCACAAACACACCATACGTTCACATCTTCTCGGAGACGGTAACAATGAAATATACCTAGTTACATTTAAAACACATTGGCTTTGCTCGCCGCTCCAGCCATGGGGAAACTGAAATGTCTTCTTTAGCATATTTTCGTGGTGTTACCGCTTACGATTTCAACTTCATTTTAAACTTTGTAATATCTGTATAAACATTTTTTTTACAGGATAGGGTGACAAACGAGCACACAGTCCACCGGATGGTAAGGGGTTGCTGTGGCCTATAGACATCTACATCGATTCTCGATTGCGACTCAAAATGCTAATGCGTTGTCACCCGTGAGGACTAAGATGGAATGCTTCGTTCCAGTAAAAGGGGTCTCCGGTTCTCTACACTCACCATACAAAACACAGCAGCATTAAGCTGCTATTTTACGCTGGTATTCTGTGAGAGCGTGGTCCTTCCCCGGTCGAGCCGACCCATTGGTGCTATAACTATACTACTAATATAACTTCAGCATGGCTCTACCAAGTACAAAACATACTGGCCGGTATGAAACGGCACGCAAGGTAAAGAAAATCTATACAAATAAATAAAATTGAAGTGTCTGTTTGCAGTGTCAAAATAACAAATTTTTACTAAATTCATATAAAGGCACAATACGATTTAGGCATACACAATATATTTGAAAATTTTTTTGTCTGTCGTCCGTCTGTCTCTTTGTTCTGGCTTATATACATATATATATATATATATA